TTAGTTTTTAGAGCTGAGTTCTTATTGAAGATATTTTAGAGATATGTATATATTTTTTTTAATTGTGCCTCATTTGACAACGTATCCAATCTCCAATCATTTTCTCTTTAGTTTCTCTTCTTTTTTTGGAACGGGCGAGTCTAGGAAACGAAAGAGTTACTTCGATAATACTATTAATAATTAATCGTACATCTACAGTAAATATTATGAATATTGCAATAATTCTGTGGAGTTTTCTTCTGGGTAAATTATTCTTTTTTCTTGCTTTTCTTTCGGTATCTCCTTAAATTCTTTCAAGCTCATATGAAATGTATTTCTTCGGTCCTTGGTAGCTTTATAATACTATAATACAATATTGTGTTTAATGTTGGTGCTGTAATGAGACGTTCATAAAATCAATTTTTTTTTTTTTTGTGCAAAGAAATAAATTCTATGACTAAAAGTTTTTCACCGAAAGCAGGTCTGGCAAGAAAACCGAATACTTTATTGTGAAAGTAGGTAATAGATAGGAATAATAAGTGGTCGACTTTTTCGTTTTGAACTCCATCTCTTAAAACAATTCCCGATAACATATCCACTGTTATGGATAATTTTCACCCATAACTTTTATAAAATTGCTACAATCGCAAAGTTGAAAATAGGAAGTTTGAATTTGCTACAAGCCTTACTTGGTCGATTGAACATACCCGTCCATAAAAAGGGCGTGAATTCCCTATACGCATGGCCATAATGTGGAACAACCGCGGAAAGAATTGAAGGATCAGCATTTTTTCATATTTTCGTCCATAATTTTCGATCTTGTGAAGATATTTTTGATATTTTGCGGTCCAGTTTACTAACAATTCCAATTCCGATTTACTTTAACCCATATTAGAAGACTCCCCATCCAATTACAAATCGATCTTATTTATAAATTGCATAATTTTAATTAATTGCATTACCATTTCGGTAACATAACATATAACATATAGGTTATATAGAATATTGAGAATTCTAGTGTTAACCTGACGTAGATTACATTTTTTCTTTATGATGATTTCCATTACATGCCCCATACCACTTCGTTTATTATAGTTATCCACAAAACGACTTTGCAAAGTAAGAAAAAGTGCTCCGATCCGAGCCATCTCCATTTCTCAAAAATTGCTCGCAGGTTGAGCGCAGGAAAACAAAACTAACAGATTGACAGATAGGCTTAGATCAGTCCTGGGTCGATCGGTGTCTGTATTAAAACTAAGTCTAGCTAAAGTTCTTCTGGATGTTTCGCACATACGTACGAACTTTATGTATCCGTGTACCACAAGTAGCGTAGGGGTATAAAAAACTGAAAATTATTTATTAAAAATATTTTACATATTTCTGGTTGGAATATTGTTTTAGAGAAATTGTATATATACTTGAAAATTATTGAAGTTATGTGCTGCCTGTCGTTTCCTTCCTCGTATCCTGTCTCTGTAAATTCCGTAACAGCAATCTGTTAACCAGTTAGATTAAAGCTATTGAATTGGATTTGGCAGGCTATTGCGTTGCGTTTAGAAAATTTAAGATATTTTTGTGAACATCTTACCAATTTTTATGAAAATACCTTTCAAAGCGGCGAGACGTTTTTATCTTCACACCTTTAAAATAACTTACTTACAGTTTTGAATTTTTCACCGAAAATTTTCAGAAAAAATACTTCAAAATATTGTTAATGCATTTATTAAACGCTACTAAATATTTTACATTGTTTTTCAAGTTCCTTCAAATAATTTTGTTTTCACTACTCAATAACAAAATTGATTGAGATACACTACGTGTGTGTGTCCTGAGTTTACATTTGTTATTCATCTGTGTGTCAATAAAATATACGGTAGATTCTATAGTACGCTATAGATTGCATTGGACGATTACAAAATATTGTACACATCTTTCCGATGAAAGGAACTTAAAAAAAAAAAAAAAAAAAAATTGAAAGGAAAAAACAACATAATTCAATTTCGATTGACTTTGTTCTATACCCACCACAATATAGCATTCTAACGTGAGAACATATAATGAAGAAAACTTTACATACTGCAAAGTAGAAAACGTCAAAATACCACGACTTCGCGCAATACTATATAAAATTCCGGAAGATGAGTCAGTCACTAGCAGCTCTCATCCACTAAAAACGAAATGTCGCTAGTGGCCAATGCATTTAACAAAAATGAAAAATTTTTCTGCTAGACAAGAGAAACTTGCACTAATCGCTTCCTCTTCTTCTGTCGTAAGCAAAATGTTCTTTTTTAAATTAATCCTTGGCGACCAACAACGATCACCACTTCCCTCTTTCTTTCTCTTTTGTTTTTTCTGGTCGGAAGGATAGGAGACAGCCCCCTAGTAATTGACCGTAGTAAAACAGTCTTCTTTCTGCTTTCTTAGTTTGCACATAGAAAAAGATTCTGAAACATCTTGCCCATAGCTTCAATATTCTCTGCAATGCGCAGCTTATCGGCAAGATAACGTCTTGAACCAATGCCATGAACATTCCCGCGATTAAATGACCTTGAAAAGTGGAAATGCAACAAACATCAGGATATTTACATATACGCACAGATACATATATATATATATATAACTCTTGACCTTTTGTGGTAGGTATATAAGAAATATTTAAACTGCAAATATTTATTGAACTCAATTTATTTTGCGTATATAGTACAATTATAATGATTGTTACAGAAAAGTGAAATAATAAAATAGAAAAGAAAAAGAAGAGACAAAAATTCGTAAATAATGAAAACTGATGAAATTAAAACTAATTAAGTTTTTTTTTTATATATATATATATATATATATAGTGAAACAAAAAATTTTTTCCAACTTAAATTAAATTCCCTTTCGTAGTCTCCTACGATTACATATAAGAGAAAATAAAGTTATAAATAAAGTATTATTTTATTTTCATTATTAAACTATTTTACAAATTTTGCTCTTTTTGCACAACACGGGCGACAACAAATTAAAAAATGAAAAAATTCTCTTTTTAATGATAATTTAAATGTATTGATTTAAAATATAGCAGATTAAAGAGAGGAATAGAATTAAAAGGAAAGAGAGTTTATGAAAATTGCATTTGATTCACATGAGAAAGAAGCATAAGAGAAACGAAATATCAAAATTAACTATAACTTTAGGCATTACGATTATGTTATGTTAAGTTTATTTTGTAATTATTACAGTTTTTTTTTTTTTTTTTCTTCACTCACAGAGGTTCTTTTCTCTTATATATGTAGTATTGAAAGAGAGTTTTGCTGCTAATTTTACATTTTCTTCTATTTAACAGTCTATTATGCAGCTCTTACTTGGTTATTATTGGTTGAGAATATATTTGTTAAGAATTCTTTTTCTTTTTTTTTTTTTGTATCGTAGAGCAAAGGAGAAAAAATTTTTACAAATGGTAGTGTTTTTGTTGTTGCTTTGTGTTCTCCAGCAAATAAATTTTATTTAATAAAAGTTTCTTCTTTGTTTTTTTTTTTTTTTTGTTGTTGTTTGCAACACTTACAAAAATCTATGTTAAAGGGCTCTGCAGGGACAGACATTTGTAAATACAATACAATACATGATGAGATGAGGTAGAGAACACATTAATTTTATTTTCTTAAATTTCTATCTGTTTTACGATTTGGTTATTCTTAATTAATGTGAACAAATGTTTCCCCCCCCTTTTCTTTTTAGCTTTTTTATTTTTTGTTTTTATTGAATTACATTTACATAAAAACAAAAGGAACGGCGCCCTAGTATGAAAATACATAAAACAAAATTCAATTTTAGTTACTATTAGAGACAGACAAGCACACACAGTAGGAAAAAATCAGAATCTAGAGATATAAGATGAAATGATATGATATAATAGAAGAAAATTTTGAATGGGCTTTTTGTCTTATACGTTAAATTCAATAGTCGAGAAGAAGAGCTCTTTATAAAATTTTCAAGTTAAGGTTATCGTCAATTCTTCTGTTGACGACGCAAAACTGCTGCAAAGCTTTTTCCAATGCGTGCAAATTGCTCGATTTAATCTGATAATGATTGGCAAATTTTCTTCAGTAATTTTAATGGTTAAGTTTAATTTTTACTTATTTTTCGAACGCTGAAATACAATAGAAGGGACGCAGCTTTTTAGTTTCCTGAGAAACCAACCTTCCGTAATTTGACTAAGAGTTATTTAAATATTATTATCATGGTTAAATTTTAATTTTCAAAGAAAAATAATTTCATATTAATATGAAATGAATATTATTTTATGCATCAAAATATTTAACATGAAAAGGATATAGAAAGAAGAAGAAAAAAAAAACCAAGAGGATATTGAGCTGAATAATAACTGAATATTATTACAATTAGCCCCTAATTTTAGGTTATAGAGAATGTGAATTAATACACAATTTTGCCAACAAGTAATTACTATTTAAAAAAAAAAATTTTAAAGTAAACATGTTTGAAAATTTATACTTTTTGATAACCATTACCGAAAGAGGGAGAGATAACAAATCTAACGTACGTCCGTCGGTCCATTGTTCGGAAAATTACCATCCCAAAAATTCAGATAAAACTAAAATTTAACAATGATGTTAGTGGTTTAGTGAAAGTAGGCCAAATATATGCACCATAAATGAGTCTACGAAAAAATTGAAATGAATTGAATGAATGGCGTATTATAACGCGAACAGTAAACATTCGAAATTCGTCCCAAAGTAAGGAATGGCTATCAATATTTGTTTATAGAAATCTTTTTGTTAAATACTAAACTAAACTCCTTTAAATACAGCATACATTTTGTTTTAATTATATTAATTAATGATAATTCTTCTTCAAACAACATATTCATAACTGAGTGTTATCCAAAAATTCTTCTTGAATTGAATCCTTCTTACAGCCCATATATATATATACAAAAAAAAAAAAATAAATAAATAAAAAAAAAAAAATATAAAAAAATATTAAAATAGTTTCATAAAAATGAATATGAAAAGTAAATGAACATAAAAAAAAAAACATGATACGAGGAAAACTATTAATTAAAAAATTTTATTTATTTTCTTTCTTGTTTTCAAACACAATTATAAATTGTGCATTTACAAATTGGGGCAAAATGAAAAAATTATAATTGTTATAATTATTATATAAGTTTGCATAGGAAACCATTAATTAAGAACGATTTTCATATATGTTCTCTTTTCCTCTCCGAGCTCTTTCTAGACTATGTTTAGTGCCTGACTGATGATTTTTCGTGTTTTTTTTTTTTTTTTTTTTATATAAAGAATTATTTAACGTTATTATAATTATAATTTCCTACACTACCCGACACAGTTCTTCTTCTTCTTGTTCTTATTACTCTATTCTTTTAATAGCTTAACTTTCGATTTTTGTGTTGCAGTGAGAGAGAATATCATTATTATATAATATTAAAAAAAAAAAACAAGAAGAAAAAATCTTCTCAAACTCTGCTATATTATAACTGCATGTGCTTCCCTTTCTTTTTTGCAAGTTTAGTTTAATTATTATTATTATTATTATTATGAAGAACATAAAATTAAATTATAAAAAGGAGATGTGTTTTTCGATGAAAACGGTATGGGAGAGTGTTAATTAATTAACAATAACCAAATCGGGCCAATTCTCATCTTGACAAGCTGTGCGAACGTTCACGGCTGCTACTGCCAGACGAAGCGGGTTGTATGATTTTGCTGCCAGGATCGCCTAGACGTTGATGCGGTGGGAGTTTATCAAAGAACGGGTGACGTAAAGCTTCTCCTGTATAAGTTGTTGTTGTTATTTGAAAATTAAGAAAAAATTATTTAATTAGTGATAGGAAATTGAAAGAAAAATTACCGAATCTCTCTTCGAAACACGACTATACCTGCGAGAAAGTTTTCTTTTCATTTTTTTTTTTAACAACTTGGAATAGTGTTTGCAAAGATAAGAAGAGAGAGTTCGGATGCGAGTTTGCCTAGTTGTAGTTTCTCTTGCAATTATGTGTAAGGAATTTCGAGCGAATCCCTAAGCGTGCAGCATAGTTTTGTTTCACTTCAAATGCTATGATAATAAGCAAAGATCATAGAGATTGTTTTATTATTTCACTTATGAAAGACCTACATAAAGATGCATGACGCGTGTATTCTAGATTTGGTGGTAAGGCGACGTCGTAGACTTTTCATCTAAACTAAGAAGATGCAATGTATCTTCTTTAGGATTTTGTTTTATGTCCGGCAAGAGTACGGAAGACAGATGGCGACTACATGCACAATAAAGTGTTCAGGATGGAATGGCGAAATTAGGGCAGCTATCGCTTTTGTATCGCGTAATTCGGCTGCTCGCGTCATAGCATATGTAGTGGAGAGTGGTTAAGTGTTTGAAAAAGGATCGCTTTTGCAAAGGTATCGATTAGTCCTCTCTTTTATATTTTACTAAACATATTCATGCAAGTACTACTCTACTCTTCTCAATTGTGGATACAAGTTATGTTGTATTTAATATTGTATACCATTATAGATTTAAGTAAAAGAAATATTGCAGCGATTGAAAAGAAAACTTCCTTAAGGCTTTTCCCAAGTGCTGTCCAATAAGGTATCATTTCTCTTCCCTTCGCGTTACGTTTAACATATAGAAAACTTACGGATTGTTGCTGAAAATTTGCTCCTACCTTTCAAGGGAAGAGTTATGATAGGATAGGATCCGTTTGTAAGACAAGAAACAAAATATTAACGAATAACACGAATGTCAACTAAAGCTGAGGTCAAAGTTCGAGAACCGGTAAATGCCAAGATGAAACATTGTCTGTTCGCATATGTATCTGAGTGCAACCGCATACACAGAACAACTGTACATAAACAGAAGGACATAACTCTTTCTTCCGGATTGTATAAAACAACTTGATACTGTCGTTAGTTTGATCAAGCATGTGCGATTGTGCGTAAGCAATAAAAACGCGAGATTGCTCCCATACGCCGAGAATGCTTAAGGTAATAATGTCAAATAATAAGTCCATGTCATTACCGTAATTATAGAACAACATAACGATACATAATAAAACTCATAAATAAACCAGGACGGACAACACTTTTCATACAAAAATTTCTTCTAACTTAACAAAACTAAAAAGCAAAAGCAAACAAACGCACTTACCTAACGTGACACGTTGTGATGGTTCATAGTCCAACATTTTCTTAATCAAATCAAATAACTCACAATGATCTTCGCTATCACTCATCTGATATCTGAACAAAGGCTTGCAGTGATCGCGTACATAACGACCAGCAGAGGATTTCTCGTCCCAATCCAACTTACCGTGATAGAAATATTTTGTTTTAGTTTTGCTGTAAAGAGCGTGATTACTAAAGGTTAAACTAACTTCATGAAGTAAACTGCGCAAAAAAATATGAAAGCTTGTCTAGCTATGCATTACCGTGCCATACGATATGGTATTTGTCCGAGAATCCGCTCCATCATCGCCAAATGTTCACGATTATCATGAGTTTGAAACAAAGTTATACCCAAATACAATTCAAAGAGTATACAGCTATAATAATATATATATATATAACGGAAAGGTTAAAAGTTATGTAAAAAGAGATGATAAGCTGGATAAGCTGGATGAGAAATAAGCGAAAACTTACCCTATTGACCAAACATCGCAAGGTTGCGACCAACCCAATTCTAATATAACTTCGGGAGCACGATAATGTCGAGTCGAGACAATAGTACTGTGATGCTCATGATCAAATGTTGCTGAACCAAAATCGATTAAACGTACATCGGTATTCTTAACGCGTCTTACTTCACGATTCTAAAATTGTGAAAGAAAGAAACAAATCAAATTAAATAAGCAATTTATATAAAATGGGAGGAGAAGAATCTCCAAAAAAAAAAAAAAAAAAATGATAAGAATTTTACTTACAATTTTATGATTATAATGTGTAGTATACTCTGAATCAACAAAGAGTATATTTTCTGGCTTCAAATCGGTGTGCGTTAAACGATTGTCATGTAAGAATTTCACTGAATAACATAACTGATAGGCCATATGTCGCACTTGTTCTAACGGATATGGTTCGTAGTTGTTCTCACGCTGTTTTTTTTTTTTTTTTTTTTTTTTTTTTTTGTAGTGTAGAGTAAATATGAATGTAATTTTTTTTTTTTGTACAACAACAACAAGTGCATAAGAGAAAAAACTTACCAAAAAATCGAAAACACTCAAACCCAACATTTCGAAAACAATGCACATGTGTCCGTGATAATCGAACCAATCTATCATTTTAACGCACAAGCTGGAAAAATTGGGTAAAGAAAAGTCAAATGAAAATTACGAATTTTATCGACATTGGGTCATCCACGAGAGGGAGATGTCTTTTCTACTTTTGTAAAAGTCTAAAATTTGTCCATGCAGCTGTGCTTGCTTAAGGCCAAGAACAGATTTTGAAAAGATTTTCCGAACAAGAAAATGCGCTGGAAGTCAAATGTGGAAAAAGAATGTCTCTCTGTGTCGTCATTAATTCAAAGTTCGGCAATCAAGCAAGAAGCATAAGCTGATCTTAATCTTAATACTGTAAGGAACACTTTCTTCGCATCAGTAATGATAAGGACTTTTCATGCATCAGATAAGCCAGGATAACAAAGTCTTCCTTGCGTGATGGCCCGCGCTTTAAAAGCTTTTAAGCTCCCTATAGCTATAGGAAAGGAATTAGATAACGCAAGTAGCATTTGTCTTGAAACAAAAGCGAGGTCAGCATCATATTTATTGGAATGCGACGGAATCAAGTCATTAACAAGGCTTTTCTAAGCAAGAAACCATCATATGTGTCACTGTATTATGGATAATTTAAATAAAATCAATTTTCTAAATCATTGAACAATGATGATTCATCTGTGCATGGATGATGGGATGCAATTATGAAATTGTTAAAAATCTTAGTACTACTTACTGTTCACAATTTGGATCTTTTTGTGCAATCTTCTCTAAGGCATTAATTTCTAGTTTAGCAGCCTCGCGATATTTTTCCACATTTTTAATTATCTTTAAGGCCATACAATAATCCCTGTTTACGGAAAATATTAAAAATAAATTTTAGTTACAATTTGTAGAAAATTTTTGCATAATGTAGATGATGGATGAATCAATCGATCGTACCTTTCCATGTCTTTGACTTTAACAACACGACCGAATGTACCCTCGCCCAGTGTGGCCATGATTTTATCTGAAAATTTGAAGAAAAGACGATACATTGAAATTTCGAATAATCCTTCAAAAGCAATACGAAAATATAATCATATTAAACATTAGATGTTTTCTTGCGAAAGTTAATAAAAAAAAAAAAACCTATTTTTTTAATATTTTTTTTTTTTTTTATATGTTTAATGAACTTTTCTACTCTAACAAACACGATAACAAAAATCGAAAACTGATCAAGATTGAAAATGCAATACATTTTGCAAGAGGAAATCGAAATGAAAAAATTTGCAAAAAAAGCGCATTGAGAGAGATTAAAATGAAATGAAAGAAAACAAAAAAAAAAAAAAAAAAAAAAAAAAAAGGGAAAAAAAAACCAAAAAAAAAAAAAACTTGGAAAAAAAAAAAAAAACAGAATCGGAAAAGCTTCTCAAAGCCTCTTCTTACATTTTTAATCAACACGAGACAGAATCAAGAAAATTGAATTTGCGCTTTTTTTCGATTTTTAAATTATTAAAAAAATCTCTGAATTGCAATTTAAATGAATGTTAATTATCAAGAGTAAAAGTTAACTTTTGAAATTTCTATTTTTTTTTTTTTTTTTTTTAAATGAATATAGTTAAAATTATCTTAATAGGATTGATTGATTAATTGATTGATTGATTGTTGGCCTAACTGCTATGCGGATTATTGTTTTCGTTCATATATATATATAATATAAATGCAAGTATATATTAATAGTTAAATAAAAACAAAAAATTGTCACGAACATCTGTGATGAAGAATATCGCCATTATGATACATCAAGTGGCCATCAGCATCATCTTGTATAACGGGCTTTGCTGTCTATTAATTTCGTTTTCGTTTAAAGGTTCATATAACGTGGCATTCATTTCGTTTCAATTCGTTTTTCAATTTTCAATTCAGTTTTGATTAAGACGTTGGTGGTGTTTTATATATATATATATATATATATATACATATATATGTTTATGATGTTGTTGATTCGATTTGATATTGAAGACACAGTAGTTGCGTGTGATTAATGCAGCAGCAAAACGGAAGCGCAAGCGGTCAAGCGGTAGCGATAGAGTTTGGTTGAGGAGGTTGATTGAGATTTGTTTTATTGATTGTAGAGTAGTAGAGGCCGTTGAAGAAGGGCAGTCAGTTGAGAGTGTATTTTTGTATGTGATAGAGAGAGAGAGGCACAGAGACACATGTGTTGTTGAGGGGTCGGTCGGTCGGTCGATGATAGCAGTTGATAAATTGGTTGGCATACATACACGGGCACGCAGAGAGAATTGGCGGGTCAAACATCAGGTGATGTGGTTCAAAAACACATAAGAAAAGAGAAAAACAAAGAAAAAAGAAAAACAGAGAAAAAAGAAAAAAAAAAAAAACATATGTATCCATAAGAAGTTGTTGCCACAGCCAGGAAGTAGTGCACATCCATCCCATTCAGCGCGCCCCCATTCATTGTTACGGCGTTAGTATCATTTATAGCACCATCCCACGTTGACACCACATAGTCGTACACGCATATATCGTGTCATTACATATTTTTCCATATCATTCACAAGACAATCAATATTTTGCCAGCAAAGCCGTTTTTAAGCCAGTCGTTAGTAATCATCATCATCATCATCATCATCATAATTATCCAGAGCATCAATTTCATTTTCCATCATCATCATCATCATCATCAACATCATTGTGATAACCCATCATCATCATTACATACATAATCAAGAAAAAACACGAGAAAAATACGTTCGTTTTTTCGATAAGAAAATTGGTTCGGACAAAATGTTGTTTTTGTATTTGTTATTACAAAAACTAGCATTTGTTCATAATTATTTGTTTTTTTTTTTTTTTTTCTTTTTTTTAAAATACATAAAACATGATAATACACAGCGTTAATATATTTATATAAAATTTTTTATTAGTTAGTTTAATTAAAAAAAAGAAATATATATATATATTAAAAAATTTAATATTTATGCAATCATGTTAAACTCGTCAGGTTAAACGAAATCATCAATGCATGTTTGTTAAAACATAGAGCTGTTTTTGACACGAAACTCCTAGCTAGCAAAGGATTTTAAAAATGAAAGTAAAGAATTTTCTTGTTCCCACGCTAGTCTACATATATGAATAATTAACTACAGCATGTTGTTGTTGAATTCTATGCTAATCTCTGTCTAATAGCTTTCATTAGATTCTCGGAGTAATACGCACTGTAAAATATCTTTCATGAGATTTTTCTAATAATTTCTGCTTTAGAATATCTTTCATGAGATTTGCATAGTCATGTCTAGTAGTCTAAAATATCTTTCATGAGATTTTTCTAATATCATGTACACTAAAATATGTTGTTTTAATGAGATTTTCATATTTTTCCCATGGGATTCAGTTGTTACTTATAGAAAGAAAAATTTATAATTCTTTTCCGCCATTATATCCATAATACTAATCTTCGTGAAGAATTTCACGCAAGAAAAAAAAAGGTTGATTTTCTTCTTATAATTAATTTAATAAAAGCAAAAAAATGTATTGAAATTTCTACATTTCTTTGTACTCTTCAAGGTTGTTTATTAGTAAAAATTCCAAGCAAGGCTTACATGCATAAGTGTAGCAAAAGTTTTCTTCTTTTTTATAACGCAACAAACATTGAAATAAAATTTTATTCATCATTCGATATTTGGAAGAAGGATTATGATGAAGAAGGTGATAAATACTCTTTCTTTGTCTTTGAAGTCATAACCTCCGTGAATAATAATAGTAATGTAATGTAATGTAATGTAATGTAATGTAATGTATAAAACGGATCAGACCAATAATATCATCTAGTATTTGATTTTGATTAGTAAGTAAAGTAAAATATTCACGGCAGTCATAAGAAAGCAAATACATACGTTCGATATGAATCGATAACAATCAAAAGCGTTAGAAAAAAAAGTCAATTTTTTAAAAGTAAGACGAAAAAAATCTTACAAATGTTGACAAAGTTTTTGGAATGCGTGACCTATGAAATAAAGACGCAGAAGTGGCACTTTTTGATAACATCAACATTTGTTGATGTTGATGATATTGCTGTTGGTGATGATGGTGTTGTTGTTGTTGTTGTTGTTGCTGCTGCTGCTGCTGTTGCTGATAAACTTGCATTTGCTGACGTTGATAGGCGGTTAAAGCAGATGCAGATATCGGCATCGCAGCAGTGGAACCTATACCCCTCCTACCGCCACTGCTGCCATAAGCGGTATTATAAGGATCAAAATGGTATGATTTGCATGAATTAAAGTAATTATCACGAGCGGGATTCCCACGAGCACCAGACCCAGAGTTTGCGGGTCCGGTCGTCTCTAGCTCATTAAGAGCAGTACCAATTGCTCTTGAAGTGGCGCTACCTTTATAAGTTCTTTGTTGACGTCCTGTACCTAAACGTTCAGTAATGCTTCCGAAGGCCAAAGCACTCGAACTGCTAGAGTGCATTAGACCGCTACTAAACTTATTAAAATTGAATGGTTGAGGTCTGTATTTGGAAAGGTCGTTATTATTTTTATCAGATGCTAGCATCAATGGTCGAATGCTATTTGTAGTCTTAGTAGTGTTTGCGATTTTTGTATCTCCGTAATCAGTAACTTTGCTAGCTATTCCTGAAATGGAAGTACTATTGGTTGTATTGACTGAGGTTATGGTTTCACTATTAGAGGTGCTGGTGGTTGTAACAATTGTTCTTGTGGTTGTTATCGTGTTGTTGTTAGTTACAGGGATGGAAGAGGTCTCTACGGTATCGGTTATAACTTCTTTAACACTTTGTTTGCTAGTTTCGTCAGAGCTACTATCGCTCTCTTCCTCCGTGGAGGTACTATCACTATCAGATTCTGTAGTTACTTTTTTGCTACTGCTTTTTTTTACAGGCAACTCTGCGCGACCATTTAATTCGAGATGTCCCTTATCAATTAATTTGGTATCATTATTATTGGCATCAACTTTCTTCTTATTTGCTAATTCCTCTTCCGCTAGACGTTGTTGCAGTTCTTTGGTTTTTTCCGCTTCCAGAGCATAACGAGCCATTCGTTCCTTTAGCTCTTTACGTTTTCGCAAGCGTTCCTCAAATTTTTTTGCTTCTAAATATTGACTATCTTCACGCAATGCTAACAATATTGCAGCATTATCGGCAGATGAACGTTCATCATTAAGTATTTCCATCTCTTCATCGGTAAATGACTTACTACTAGCGGACGTGGTGGGAGGAACGCGATGTGTTGACGATGCCACTGAAGTCATTTGCGGACGTTTATAGGCAAAACGATTACGCGAGTTAAGCGGGACGGTAATGTTGTCATCAATACAGCCGCTCTCACTATTATCACCCGTTCTGCTCGCTAAATTCTCACAGGTTTTATTGCGACCATTGGATTTTGTTTTATCATAGCCTGATGATGCTACAGAAGAAGATGTATTTACATCCAGATCAGTACTGGTATCATAATGTCTACCTAAGCGTGAACCATCGTAATAGTTGCGGTAGTCTAAACCGCTACGTGGCTTATAACTGGAAGCATATTCGCCATTACGCCCATAACGGCTTGTTGCTGCATTATATTCATCCTGGTAGCGGTGATCGTAGTGTGCACCATGATTTCGGGCACCCGAACGATATTTATTACCACTACTACCATAATCCAAAAGATAATTATCATCAACTAAGTTCGAGTCATTAACAGGCCGACCATTTGTACTAGTTAAGTATCCGCTGTCGTTCGAGTCACCCAAATATCGTGCAGTTTTATTCCTTAATAAACGGTAAGGCGTGCGTTCTCTTCGATCGGCAGTACCAAACGAACTGGAGGACAGTTTCGATTTTGTGCCGGCCGATGACAATTGATGCGAGGTAGCCGAACGTGTTATGGGATTGATATTCTCATCGGGTTCGAGAGTCTTCTCGTGATCATCGTCGGCATCACGATGACGACGTCTACCTACTCGATCTAAAATATCTGAATATTTATTCTCTAGTCTCGATATGGCCGATAGTTTTGCAACACTAGAACTGGAGGCTACCGGCGTTTTGTCTTTATCGTTGTCTTTTCGCTAAGTGTGAGAAAAATGTACATAACACAGTTAAAATATTAAGCTGCTTTCGAAGCTACTAAAGGATTCTCTTAGACGACGAGGATAAGGCATTTCGGAATATTGGTCCTTTTCATACGTTAGAAACTAACTCTCAGGTTCATAGAAAATTGGCCTTCAAAATATTTTTTGATGCTGCTCTTTTATAAGCAGCAACGCATTTAAATATTCAAACTCGATTCTCTCTGTTTATTTTCAAATATACTCAAAATAACGAAACGAAAGTGTTTACATTTTTGAAATGAAAAACGCATTTTCCCGAGACAGCGGGCGATGTTTTCTTCTACTGCTGCTACTCATCTTCAGAGATTGTAAACTTATCTTTTGTTCTTGCTTTTATAACATTCAGGCGCATTAATATTTCGCATTTTCTTGCGTGCGTTCAGAATGATTCAATGGGGATAGGGTTGTTTTAGATTTTCATTAAAGCTTTCTTAGAATTTGCAAAGAGATGTATTTTTTTTTTTTTTTTTTTTTTTGTTTTCTTTTCACAGAATATCTTCTCTATTAGAGGTACTAAGGTAGAAAAGTGTCGGATTTAATTCAAGTCAAGACAATCTCGACTAGTTTTGCGCAGTCCAGTCCAGCTTTATTCATTTTCTTCTTCTTTTTTGTTTGTAAAGTAAACTCCTGTAAACTCCTTCTTTTATAAATATCACTTGCCCGCCCTTGAGATCATACTCCTTAAATAGGATTTTCTTACTCTCCTC